AAAAAAATAACAGTAAATCTGAGACCCATAATAAAAATAATAGGTGTGGTACCCTATTATTTGGCGCTTATATTTTTATATGCGTAAGATGATAATGTAAAATATGTGTGCCCCACTATAAATCTACATTGAAGTGAACAATAATTTGTATTTTTTTTTATTTTTTATACTTTTAGAGATTATGTGATATTTGCAATGTAAAAATAAGTGCATAGCAAAAAAATAGTTGTAAACGTGAGATCCATAAGAAAAATAATAGGCGTAGGATCCTATTATTTGGTGCTTATATTTTATATGTATAAGATAATAAAGTAGAATATGTTTGTCCCATCGTAAATCAATCATGGGATGAACGAAAATTTGTTTTAATCTAATATTAAAAATAAGTGTGAGGTTTATAGTAAAAAATTAGTGATATATATGAAATTCAGAATAAAAATAATATGCATGAGACCCTATCATTCGATACTTTCCTTTGTATGAGATAATAATGTAAAAAGTGTTTGTCCGGCTGTAAATCCGTTGTAAGATGAGCGGTAATCTTTAAATTTTTTTAAATTTCTAGACTTTGTGAGATCATCTGGCACTTACAATACAATTAAACATAATTATATAGATTAATTTACCATTACGTTCCGCCAGCATAATTTGTTAGGGTATAAATTATAACAATTTTTAATTTTTTAAAATTTGTTAGATTTTGAAAGATCATGTGACACTTGCTAAATAATTCTAATAATACTTTTTGGTAAATAATTTTTTTTTCAACTAATTATGCGCGGCAGAACTTAGTAGTGATTTTATTTTAATTTGATTTAAAGACATTTCTGATATCAATCAAAAGAAGAGCACAAGCCTAGTGAGAAACCAACATATGCATCCCTGGTATAACACATTTAAAATAAAATAATTTATTATTTATATTTTTAATATACATATGAAAAATATATTTTTAAATAAAAAAGTTGTTGTTTAGTTTTAATTTAAATAGATTAAAAATTTTAAATAGACTAAAATAAAGGGAGAGTGACATAATCAGGTCCCAGATGAATGAATTAACAATAGTTAGGCTCTCGACAAAATTGTCTACAAAATAAATTTTAAATATCAATTTAAACAGTTACAAAGAGAAATTTTTATTGCAATTTAAGAGTTACATTTGATGCTTAAATATTTATTTACAATTAAAACTCCTAAATGTATAATAATCTAAATTGATATTTTTAACTTATTTTTTTAAAAAAATATTAGAGATTTAATTGTTATTAATTCAATGTCTTAAGACCTAACTGTTATTCTCCCTAAGATAAATTATTTTTTTATCTTAATCTTAATTTTTTTTACCATCTAAATATTAAATTATCCCCGTGCATTACCTAGGGAATAAATCTAGTCATGGATGCATTGGCGAGTATTAAATGGTAAACATGAAGTATTTAAACCGTCAAAACGTAACCATCCGCCTCAAATTTTATTTTTCTTGTCAGATTTATCAGTAATACGTCAGGTAGATGGTCTGTCCTAGTCAACACAAGATTACAAGTATAGAGCTTTAATTTCTTTTTCAGGTCTGAATTAGTTATTTGATTGTTATACTTAATTAAACCAATAAAAAGGCTCACTTGATTGCATTGCAAGGAATACATCAAGATTAATAACATGCCTCGTTTGATGTGAAGAAGAATAGTGATGTAGCCTCTAATCCTTCTCGTGACTTCCCAAATCCACAATCTTGCCAACCAACAGGTATTAATTAATTCTATCGAAGGAGAAAATAAATGTGATATTTTGAGTTTGAGTTCAATGCAGAAAATATCTTCGAATGAGTTATTTTTAATTAGGTTCAACGATACTCAAATTTTTCTAGTCAGATAATTATATAAAATAAAATAAAATGTTGGGTCTACATTAACCTTAGCCAAAACAGATCACTGGTGTGGGCTAAAGTAATTTGTCCGACTCTTGAAGAGTTGGTTACCAACCTCTTATCTTTTGTCAATCTCCCAAATGAATGCCAGTGAATTTCGAGATTTTTATCCATTATTTTAATATTATTTTTAAACAGCACTAAACAAAAGCTGTGGTCCGACGTTTGCATCTAAGCAACACGGTGACAGTGCTCTTATCGTATATTATATTATTAATCCATACTTTCTTCTCCAATAAGGAGGACATTCCTTTGAAATTCAGGCCTCTCTCGCTTTCTAATAATATGTCAGGCAATTCCATGATTTTTAAGTATACAGAGGAAGATATATCGCGCGTGTTAGTATGATGTTGGGAAAATTGAGCCTAAATAACGGTAACAAAATTGAAATATATTTATCAGCATGTTCCTAACTAAACAATGAAACGATATATATATATATATATATATATATATGTTTACGCGATTATATCCATAACTGTAAGATAGCAAAAAGCTCATAACAGTGCCTAATCAGATGGATGATTTCTCTTGTATTATATAACAAAGAGACTTGGAAGGCTTTATAGCAGACATTGTTAAAGTGAGAAATTGAGATGAGCCCATAATTAATTATCTCGGGAAGAAGCTTAATTACTCTTCCAAGTCTTCTTAGATGCCTCCCTTGTTTACTCTTATTGAGGCAACAATCACGCTGATCTCGCTCATGGCGTGGCATTGGATTTCTTTTTTCATGGGCAGCATCGTCTCCTCTTTCAATTCTGGTACGACAAAAGCATCGTATTAATGGTGGATCCAATACTTGCTTTATATATACATGCTGAATTGCTGATCCCACCACCACTTCATGTATATTATCCTCCTTCCCTCAGCTTTTCGTAAATTTCACCATTTTCATCTTCACAAAGCGCATCAATAATTAAAAGCACATATACCATTGATTTCCTTCTTTTATGTTGCTCGCGCGCCATCATTAAAAGCAAAAAAAAAAGAAAAAACACAAGCAACTACTGCTGTGTGTGTATCACATCATTGACTTCTAGCGGCATGGTGCTCTCCTTCAAGTGTTGTCTTGTTCTGTCAAGGTTTCTTTTAAAAGGAAGGATTGATGAATAATGTATAATGGAGCATACTGATTGGCAGTTTTGTATCAGTTGGACCAAGTCATGATGACACACCAACTATCCCAAAATAACCTTCCCTGATTTATTACTAATTTTACTGTACCATCATCATTCGGTCTTGCCGTTATGAATAGCATCACGGCAACATCGACCACCCGGCATTATGCTAACTAACCTCCTAAAACTATAGCTACACCCATTTATTACTTCTTTTTGTCTAAAATATAAACATTTTCTTAATTAGCTTAGATATTTGTTTGAATATATCCTCCACTCATCACTCAGTATGTTGGTAATTGAAACTAGAGATAATAAAAAATTAATAATAATAATATTCCTTCAATCTTAAATTTTGGAGTACCTTTGAAAGAGTTTATATTTTGAATAAATTAATATGTTATTAAATGCACTTATTTTAATATTTTTTTTATAATTAATTTTCATTCTTTCTCTTTTTAATATATTAAATGATAAATATTTTTAAAATTTTATATTTTTATTTTAAAAAAATAAAATTGTTAAATATATTTAATAAAATTTATTGATATGTGAGATTTTATTTAAAAATATTTTATAATTTAAAATGAATGAAGTAATATATATTTATATGAGAGTAATCGTAACTTTATTAGTACATGAAATCTTCTTAAAAAGTTGTTATATTTTGCACCCGAAGGAGTATATAATAGCATCTATTATTGTACCATTGTTCAAAATGATTACAATACCATGTCCTCACGAAACCATTAACAACTCTCTCTCTCTCTCTCTCTCTCTCTCTCTCTATATATATATATATATATATATGCGTGCGTGCGTGTGAGTGTGTTTTTGCGTAGCTTCAAATCAATATCGTTCTTCAGCCTTCCTATATTTATGACCTGGGAAGAGAATGACCTTACAATTTCCACAAAACAAAAAACGATTGGTGACACGCATATAACTAATAATAGCTGCCTATGAGTTTCGCGTAGCATAGCAAGAAATATGTGCATGGGCGTTAATCAGTGATGTACATATATACTGGTAGAATATATATTATCTCAAAGCCAGATCTCTGTTATGCCCATTTTCGATAACTACAAACCAAACACTTTTCACTACCTAAGAATAAGCGTTAATCAGTTCTGTAATGCATATTTAGCTCGGATATTTATAATTAATGTGTCCATTACTCGATCACCGACTAAATCAAAGCCCACTTTGGATTCTTGATACTGTCATCATGACCGTAGGGCCGTGCATGACATATAAAATAAGCAAAGTGCTTCGTAGATGGATTATTGTGGGTGTAGCTTTTGACATGGAAGGTGGAAATTAAATATGGATTATGTGGGATTAAAGGAAGAATTGCACCTAACTAAAGTTGTCCATTTGAAGTCCCCTCCACTACTGCAGTATAATTTATAATTATACATTTATTAAGTGCGTAATGTTTTGAAGGGACAAGTTAAATGCTTTACATTCGCAGAGCTTGTACACACACATATTGATATCCATTACCATTATGTGTAAATAAAGTGAAAACTCACTCAAGTACGCTGCAGCACTTGCCTACAGCTTTGGGTCCACAGCCTAGAAGAGCGATAAGGGATGAGATCTTAGAGGTCAAAAAGTAGCCATCTGTTTGGGTTGGTGGTATATATGTCTCTTCTTCTCAATTCCTATCTAACCATTTTCACGCTGGCCCCATTGACGCATTCTTTTGGGCGCCCGTTTTTAGCCTTTCACATCAAGATAGGGACTTTGTACAATTTCATTTATACATGCACATGAACAGAGATAAAAAGCACGCAAAGGGGAAGGAATATATGAAACATATAATAATAACAAAAAGAGCTCACATCCAATAGAAGAAAATAAAGGCAGAGGAAAGAAAAGAAACGAGACGCAAATAATTAAGGACAGTGCACAATAAAACTGTTATGATTAAAGTTCACTACCCATAACAAACCGCAACAACATCTAATTCCTTCTCTCTCCGGCCTTCTCCTACCTCTTCCCTCTCCTTTAAACTGCTCTTTTTACCTAAACCAAACCTTCTTCACTGATAAATACCATCACCCTCTACCCTCTTGGACCACTCTCAGTCTTCTTCCACATACGAAAGATGCAGCCACACACTGACACGCCCTTTCCTCTCCCGAACGTCTCTGAAGTAACGTGCATGGACCCGAGCCGGCCGTCGCTGGTGGTGGAGAAGGTCTGCAAGACAGTGCGTTTGATCTGTTTCCTTGTACAGAACGGGGTCTCCAAAAGCAAGGTCATGCACGACGTGCACTTCATGATTAAGCGAGGCAAGAACTTGGGAAAGACTCTGAATAACGCCGTCGTCCGACACCACGAAGCCCTGACTTGCCGCTCACGTGACGCGCACATGTCCTTCGTTTCCCCTATGGAGTACCAGTTCAGCTGCAGCGGCAGTCCGCCTCGCCTTTCGTACGTTGGCAGGCGGAAGGGCGCCTCTTCCCCTTACACGCGCCGCCAGCACTGCCACGCGCTTCATTATTCTCGTGAAACGCCGGCTCACAGGATCGTAGGACTGTGTCGTGGCGACGAGGACACGCTGGTGGGATCGGGCCTGCGGCGTTATTCAATGGGAGGGCGAGTAAAGATCACAGGACCCGCTTCCATGTTAAGCGACGACGTCGTGGAGGAAGAATACCGTGTGGACGAGGCCGCAGAAGAGTTCATAGATAGGTTTTACAGAGAGTTGAGGTTGCAGAAATGGTTGGATCACTGTTGCTGATGTGTGATCTGTGTGCGCCCCTCTGGCAGTTTGTCATTGGCCAGGCTCTAAGGCAGTATGCACTTGATGATGAACAGTTATCTCCCCGCTTCTCGCTGTAAATTCCAATTTCTTCCAGAGTTACTATCAGGTTTATTATTGCGTGCCTCAGTTTATTATTCCACGCGTGTGTACACAAACGTACGTTAAAAAAATTAAATAGAATTGAACGATGTCGCGAGTGGAAATGAAACCGAGCGAAGCAGCAGATGTAAAGTAAATGCGCGCGTTAAAGAGTGGGAGAAAGTAGAGCAAGTTTTGAGGGTACGTTTAGTTTTTAGACATGATATATAAGAAACCCTGAAAAATGAAAGAAGGCGCAAGGAAACTACAATAATTAACATTGAAAAGATGATGCATCAAGCACCATCAAGATTAAAAATGAAGGGATGTTCAACCTTATACCCATATTGAGCAATCCAACTCCATCCTAATCATCTCAAGACATATCTCTCCCAACCTAAAAAAAGATTTGAGATGGGAAGGGATTAGAGATTGCTCATTTGCTCTCCGCCCGACCACCTCGCCCCACATATTGTGTGTGTGTGTTTTTTTTTCCTTTTATTATATGTATTAATTATAATGTTATGGTTTATTTATTTATATTTTGTGTTTATATATTTTTGTTGACTTTTTAAATACTTGAATATCCCTATCTCATCTATTAGATCTCATTCATGAATCACGATTGTGGATGCCATTCTCTCAAACTCTATCTCTATATCTTAATCACGTCTCAAATGCCTTTTTTTGTTTATGTACTCATATTATTTCGTTTTTAGACTAAACAAATCATGTGATTTAATATTTTAATAAATGTCATTATTTAGGTTTTTTTTTCATGTTTGTTTTACTGAGACATCTCAATCTTCTCTCAATTGCGTCCTGATTCCTAACAAGAAGGGACCAAAACACGGGACAAAAATTCAATTCTAATCATTTTTCAAGAGCCCCTGGTGTGTTCTCTGCTTCTAATGTTAGCTTTCCTTCTTGCTCTGACAGTTTTTAAAAGAATTTTCATTTAAATAATGAGATGTGGAATTCCTTTAATTCCCGTTTGGTAAAATTAACAGAACGGGGAAAAAAAGAAAAAAGGCGATGCTTCATATTATAATGTAGCCGTTTAGAAGCAAAAGCATGAAGAAGAGGAGGAAGATCAGTGACTGATGAGTAAGGATGGCTGCGGGGGCAGTATAGTCAAGTGGTCATCGTCCGTCTCCCTCCCATCGAAGCTAACGATGAAAGCAAAATTATCGGGTCCATAGCATCAATTGCTCAATTATGAGAAGGGAAAGCTTCGCGGCGCTGTTGTGCTGGCTTTATATATATATATATATATATATACATATATAATCGTACTATTTTTAACTGTTTTGCATGAAATCATTACAAGATGATTAATTCAACTTTCTCACCAGTAATCAGTTGATGTTAGACGTCAATCACGAACGTAATGGTTAATCGGTGATAATGGACTTCGTCTACTTGTTATATATCAATTAAATCAATAAATTGGCAATTTAAGTTTGGTATTTATGTTCTGTTATTTCTATATTTATATATCACAATAATTAGATTATAAAAATGATGATAAATATATGTTTGTGGGTCTGAACTAAATGCCTGGTTGGTTGTTGGAAAAAATGAAGTGGAACTTAATGAGTCAACAGAGAATAAAATAAATTAAAATAAAAATGATAAAGATCAGGGATGATAGAAAGGTAAGATGAGAAAAAGCATGGATAAGAAGAATCTGATCATGGAACCATTTCAGAGGCTTTCGCTCTGCCTGTTTTCTATCTCTTCGAGTTTGCCCCTCATGGGTTGGTTCCTGCGCTACAGCACGATAGAAATTGCCGAACAACTGCTGATGGTGGATAAGTAGTTTGGTTTCGTCTTCGTATTAAAAGAAAAGAAAAGAAAAGAGGAATTAACATGGGTAAGATCATCAATTTCTATACCTAACTGTCACCAGTGACATGATTATTTTCTTTCTATCATTACCACTTCTACGTCAATATTTAAATTAATTTTACTCTGTTTTATTTTTTATCAAAATATTTTATTCCATTTCATTTCCTTTTAATAATTAACCGGACTTGAATCTCTTTCCACAACTTGAATAGTAGGGAGGGGCAGCTGAATCGGATTCAGTTCCGGCTCTCATCCATGGTGCTCTTTTTTATTTTTTAAACCACAAAGTTATTAGTATAATAGCAAATAAATATTACAAAATTATAATTAATTAATAAATAAATACTAACATGTTAAAATTTGACTTTCAGATATAAATTTTGGTCTGAATAGTTCATAACTGTACTGAAAGAATGACTTGAAGGGTTTAAAATAAAAGTTAAATTTAGTAAAATGAGCTAGTTTTTTACAATGTAACAAATTAATATTTGAATTTCTATTAAAAGAAGTGCCTGTATTTAATACTCGACCTAGTTTTAAGAATATTGCTTCTCATAGATGAACAATTATGTAAAATCAATAAAATAAAAAAATAGCTATGGTTTTAATTTTTAATACAGTACTGAATTGTTCAAATTTATATAAAAACTGTTCCATTCAAATTTTAATAACTTAAATTTATTTATTTATTTAATATTAAAATAATAATTTTATAATGTTAATTTATTATTATGATAATAACTTTTAAAAGGTGAAAGAAAAAGAAAAAAGTTAACACTGCAGCGGCAGTGTTTTGGTGCTGATGCTGAGCACCGTTCTGAATCATGGCAAAACTTTGTTTGTTTGTTCGTTTTTGTTTTTGGTTTTTGGCCGCCGCTTGCCAGAGACGTTGAAAGGGAAGGTTGCGTGTTTCTTTTGTTCCCTTAATTTTGATAGTCTTGTGGGTTTTACTTAATGGGCTTTTAACTGGGCTAGATTATAAGACTGGGTTTTGTAGATCTCTGGGATTGAGCCTCCTCAATTGGATCTGCAACAACGATTGAGTCATAGAAGTACGTAGCGTGTTTTTAACTGTTAATTTTTTTTTTTGGTTCACGTGTTCCGTGCAAAAATTAAAACCAATAATTTCAACAAGTCAAATTTATTCAAATTAAAATTAAAGCATCTTACTCTATAAAACAAAGTTTATATAATTAAATCTAACTCTAACATCTTTGAACTTATTTAAATTAGTCTAAATACCCATAACTTTTGAAGAATAATTTTTTCCTTATTTTTTAAATTAATTTTAATTTTTTACTAACTGTTGAACATAAAATATTATTTTAAATTTAAAATAATAAAATAAAAAATAATAACTCATCAACTTTATACTTAAATAACTCTATTATTGCTTTGTTATATTATGTGTAATTTACTTATGAATATTTTATTTACTTATAAATTAATGTTTTAATTATTTAAATGTTAATCTTATTATGATCATATATAAATATTTTATATATTTTAATTATGTTTAAATTGACCTCAATTCAATCACAATTAGACTACTAACTTAAAATTATTATCACAATTAGTTCAAAATTTTCAATAACTTTTGAGTAAGCTGTATTTTTTATTTTTAAAAATATGAAAAAAAATTCATTATTATATTATATAAAATAAAATTATTTAATTATGAGTAAAATATTATTTTTTTAACTTTTCATATTGTTTAACCCTTACATGTAAGGGATATTTACAATAATTTATTCTTATTTTTTAACTAAGTCTGCCATAGATGATAACTAAATAATTATCAAAGTATATTATTTTATTTATTATATTTATCTAATAGTAGAGTCAAGAATTTGTATATGTCTAAATTTTATTTTTAAATTATTTTTATTTATATTATTTTAACTTTAAAAAATAAAAAAAATAATAACTCATCAACTTTATATTTAAATAACTTTATTGCTGATTTGTTATATTATGTATAATTTATTCATAAATATTTTATTTACTTGTAAATTAATATTTTAATTATTTAAATATCGATCTTATCATGATCATATATAAATATTTTTTATATTTTAATTATAATCAAGTAGATCTCAATTTAATTACGATTAGACTATTAATTTAAAATTATTACTCTGATTAATTCAAAATTTTCAATAACTTTTAAATAAGTTATATTTTTTGTTTTGGAGAATATGAGAAAAAAATCATTATTATATTATATAAAATAAAATCATTTAGCTATGAGTAAAATATTATTTTTTAAACTTTTTATATTATTTAATCCTTGCATATAAGGATATTTACTATAATTTATTCTTAGTTTTTAATTAAGTCTAGTATGGATGACAACTAAATAATTATCCAAGTATATTGTTCTTTTTATTATGTTTATCTAGTAGTAGAGTCAAGAATTTGTATATGCTTGAATTTTATTTTTAAAATTATTTTTATTTAATTTTTATTTTAAAATTAATTATCTTGTTTTATAAAAAAAATTCAATGCTCAAACTATGTATAGGATTCAAATTTTTTTTAAAAAAATAAGTGGTGTGTTAAAATATAAAAATAAATATTAAAATATATTTTAAATATTATTTTGAGATATTTCATTGATTAAAAAAAATAAAAATATTAAAATATAATTTAAAAAAACTATAGTAATGCACTTAAATATATGATATTGTAGTATAAAATAATATAAAATTTTAAAGGTTAATTAATATTTATTATATTTCATATGTTATTAAAAATATTTTTTATTCGAGTATTTGGGCCAAGCTCGAACCCTATCAAATTTGACCCGAACATTAAAATCTATTATTTATTTTGGGCTTGGTTCTTAATTTTTCAAGAGAGTTTATGATGATTCATTGGGCTTAGCCCAAATTATCAGGTCTACCAACAATGCTAAAAGTAACAAGCCAATGCTTGCTTTTGTACTGTCAAAAAAAAAAAAGCAATGCTGAAAGTATTAATGCGACGAGCAAAAATATAGATAGCAATGAAACCAACTTTCCATATTGGCGAATTATGGCAATCCCTAAATTTATTATAAAGAGCTGGAGAGAGCAAAAGACACTTCTGTACTATACATTTGTAATCGGTTGGATTTTAATTTAATATGAAGAGGCTTTCGCAGCTGTGCTTGATATAAGAAGCTAGATCACGGTGCCAGGGTA